CCACACCTTTGCAAAGCACTGCCTAGCGAGCACCTCTAGACAGCAGCGCCTCCGTTGCTCCCAGGCATCTCACCATGTGGTTTTTCAGGAGAAGGCTTCCTAAAATTCCCAGAGCCCTCATTTGGCTCATTGTTTTAACAAACCTTTGCATCTTCATTGCTAATTTCAACTCCTTGTTTGGCTTGTCAAAGGTTAAGATTTTCAGGTAAGGGACCTGCTCCTTGTGATATGCGCTGTCTAGGTAGAGTGCTTGTGCTCACTTTCTCTCTGTCTCTGTGTGTTTTTATCCTGAAACTCACATCTGATCTGAGTTAGGTGACTACTTTGCTTTAGCAGACCATGTTGTGTACAATCAGAGCACGGTGTTGGAAGATCCACAATCAAAAAGCTTGCTTCTGCTAGTTTCTAGTGTTTCCTTGCATAGCTGTTTAAGAAAGCAGCTTTTGCTTTACTACTGCTACCTGTTTTCATACTTTGGCACTACATAGTATTTGCTTTTCCTGGTGGCTCCCAGAAGGACCCCATTCAGCCCTTGTCCAGATTGCATTGCTGGACATTGAATTTGGTGGGATACCATCAAATGCAAGTTTGGCTCCTGATTTCTAATACAAATATGCTGCATACTAGGAGACCGATGTAATGCAGACATGATCAAGATATATATTATTTTTATATAAATGGTCGAATAAATCCTACAAGAATGGGTGTGGAGGGAATTGCAGCGTAGACTGCAGTAAAATGTCTCCAGCATCGTTGGCAGGAAGCACTGTTCCTTGCCATGAGCACAGCAGGTGTCAGCCTTTCCTGCTACAACCATGGCTCGCTTACGCATCGGTGCCCTGTGCTGTGTGTAGGAAGCACTGCTCCGCAGCCTCCCCACCAGCCCTCGTATGGTCCCAGCTCCCCCGATGAGCTCGTCTGGCTTGTCTTGGTGGGGTTAGTTTTCAGCTGGACCTCTCGGGGCTGATGCTGTGGGGGCAGGCGAGAACGGTGAGGCTGAGAACACCTACATCTCTTCTGGAGGTGGGATGAGTTTAGCTCAGCTCCAGTGACTTGAAACCACACCTGGAGGACAGCTATCAATTTGGAGAGGTTGGAGTCCGCACAAGGGAGGCAGGTAGAAGGAAAAGGTGTAGAGAAGTGAAATGCGTTGTCCTTGATCACAGAGCCTGTCAATGGCAGAGGTGGGACAAGAACTGGCTCTCCATGCACAGCTGCGTGATGCCATTTCGTTCTGCTGTAGTTTTGGATAATGGAAGTATCCATATTTTTGCAACTTAAGTAAAACACAGCTAGGCATGAGCTGTATGTGGTTATCTTTGTGTCGGTTCTATTTCCTTACTTTTTATATGCAATGTAAAATACATGAAGCAGCATTTTCATGGCTTTATCCTCTATTTGTCCGAAGGTTTTGTAAATGCAGAGGAAAATGACAGTAAATATCATTGAGCTTCTGCAGTTGTTCTCCAGCTGGACTCTAGAGCCTGAAATTTGATGAGCGGCTTTGACCAGTTGTCTGGATTTAAAATGCTCATCAGGAGAGCAGGATCCTGTCTAGGCACAAGTACCTGGCCATGTGGGTCTGACTGCAGGGAGCAAGGTTTTGTATGTGAAGCGCCCTCGGTTTTACGTTTTGGTCTCTGTATGTTTGGCACAGTATTTGAAATTAAAGTCTAATAGAGCTGGGGTGGAATCTGTGCCCTGTGAGACAGCAAGTACAGAAAGTCTGGGGTGGGGGGTGGTTTTTCATACTGTCCTGTTTCATTTGTTTTCTGCCCTTTAATTTCCGAAATTTAAACATCATCTTAAAAATACAACAGAAAATCATCCAGGGATTTAAGATCTGCCTGGGCTACCTTACCAGATTTCTCCTTACTTACGGTGTATATATAAAGTCTTCCCTCTTATTAGGCAGTAAACAACAAAACAAGTTTATACGTGAAGCTCTATGATAGAAAGCAATTGCTGCATACTTGAAACTGGCTAATGATTATGAGGAGAGGTAGAGGAAGAGCTTATAGGCTGTTTACCACCACAACCTCTTTTTCTCAGAAATAGCATTGGAAAGGTCCAAGTATTTATCCAATACAAAATTATTTTTAAAAGCTTCTTTAGTTGATAATTTCCTCGTCACTTTAATGAATGCCATACCACTCTGAAGCTTCAACAGCAATTGAACTGTTATCTACAGCCGGCTATCTGCAGAGGTGCTTTTTTTTTTTTTCCCATTTATCACCTGAAAAGCAATCCACAGCTTTCCAAAACAAATGCATCATGCAAAGGGTGAATGTAAGTGTGAAATCAGAATGCCACAACTATGCTGATTTATCCTGAAAAGCTTTGCTGCACATAAAAGCTCAGCTGCAAAAATTTTTCGCCTTCCTTTTTCCTGTTCCACCCTCCAGCCATGTACAGATAAGAATGCGTATTTGGGACAAAAACCTGCCACTTCTGCCTTGATTTTTTTTGCTGGGTTTCAGCCCAGTCTTGTTGCAGGTGGCTCTTCTGCTGTTGGCAGCTGTATCCTGCTATGATATCCTTGTACCTGCCTGTGCCTCTGAATCAGGCAACAGGGCAGCTGCAATATTAGAGGCGATTGCTGAAAATGCAGAGATCTTACATTTTTAAGCTTCCAAGTGTATTGTAATAGCTTCAAATAGCCTGTCTTAAGGCATGGGTACCTGCCGAGTGCTGTGTGATGCCATTGCATTAGCTGGCTAAGGGGGAGGAGGAGGGGGGGGAAAGTGCTTTGTGGCCCCAAATGCTCAATAAGTGATATATGGTAAAGGAGTGAGTTTCATTTCTTATTAGACTTCCCTTACTGAATTCTGGAAGATCTTTATGCTCTGTCGCTGAAGCACTTGGCTTTGCTGGCAAAGAAGAGAGCCAGATGGCTGCCTCCATGGTGTGTGCCGTGTCCTAAACTCAGGATCTCCAAAACAGTCCTGCAGTGCTCTGGGGCATTGCCAGGGGTCCTGCCCAGTGCAAGGCAAAGCTGTTCTGTGCTGGTTTGCAATTGTTGCCAGTGTGGATGTTTCATGAGCCAAGTGCTGAAGAGGAGTGTGTAGCCTCTGGGATTTGCTTAGTGGAGAGATAAGCGGTATTCAGGCCAGAATGGTGTGGGAAGTTGAATTAGGCTTTGATGGCAAAGTTGAAAACGAAATTGAATTCATACAGCATCCTGCAGAAACTCAGTGGCAGTTGCCAAGGCAAGTCTTCTGAGTGTGGTGGTCATATGCAGCGGTTGCTCTGAAGCACAGAGAGGGGCTCAGAGTCAAAAGCACTAGAAATGGGCTGAAAGGTGTTAAGTGGAAAGTGTGTGTGACGTGTCTGCTTTTCCTTTGATTGCATTCAGGCAATTGAGCATTTTCCAGCATGCCTCAGATATGCTGCAGATGGACACCCAAGAGCAACAGGGTTTAAACTATTCTGATAATGGGAACTCAAGGAGCTTTTTAAAGGTGACGTTGGGGAGAGACACCACAAGACTCAAACAAGATATGGCTGAGAGGACGTCAAGGTGGGAAGGAAAGGAGGAGCAGAAGAAAATGACGAAACCAGTTGCCAGGGTGGAGGAAGCCAAGGAGGGCATGACTGCAAAACCGCCACCTGGGTTGGAGGGAATCAAGAAGACAACAGTGAAAACAGCCCCCAGGGTGCAGGAAAAAAAGGAGAAAACAACAGTAAAACCAACCCCAGGGGTGGAAGAAGCCAAGGAAAAGACAATAGTGAAACCACTTCCCAGGGTGGAGGGAGCCAAGGAGATGGCAACAGTGAAACCATCCTATGGGGTGAAGAGAGCTTATGAAAACAACATATCCAAAGACCAAACAAAGCCAAAAGAGCCTCCTGCACCAGAGAAAAGTGTAAGGTCTGTTCCTCAGGATGCTGCAGTGACAGAAAAGAAGAAACTGAGGGCTGCTGACTTCAAGTCTGAGCCGCGGTGGGATTTCGAGGACAAGTACCTGCTGGACAACTCATCTCCACCATCGGTAGGTGTGATGACTGTGTGTGTTTGCCAAGTGATGCCTCCTTGTTAACCTTCTTGTCTGCTGTCCCCTGGGCTCACGTGCCCTTTGCAGTCAAGGATGATCTCCAAGCTGGTAGGTCAACTCACTGGTGTATGCAGATGCTGCTGGGACTCAGAGAGGGAAACCCATATGTATGACTCAATTAGCCTGGCCAATCCTCCACCATGCTCCAGTATGGGAACTTACTGTAATTGCACGTGTTTCCATGGGTTCCTTTGAAAGTCAGCACTAGTAGCCCTTTTCTGGAGCTCAGGTGCATCAGAAGCTGGAGAAAATATCTCTCCTTCTAGATATGCTACAAGGTGGTCCCACTCTGAGGTGACTTGATACGTTGCATAGGGGACTTAGGCACACAATGCAGCATATATGTTCCCTGTAATGTGGCACCCGAAGGTAAGTTGAGTCACACCTAGTCTTGTGATGCCTATGGGCAGGCATGAAGTGTCTGGCACTAAATGGCAGTCTTCATACAGGGGTCCCGTTTCTCACCTGATCTCTTGGGGAACTGAACATCTGCATTCCTAGGAAGACTCAGGTTAACAATCCCTAGATTTGCCTTGATCTTTGTTTTATGCAGCCCAGCTAAAGAAAAAAAGCAGGGTCATGGTGAGGGAACAGGAATAGGAATACCTCCATGTGCCTGTTCACCCAAGCACATACACACCAAAGCGGGTCAAAAGCTTTGGCAGCAGTGGGGCAGCAGTGACGCTCGTGCTGTGCTGGGCAGTGAAGAATGACGCTGGCAGTGATGGTGGGGAGGGTGTCAGTGCACAGGAACAGAGGCTTAGTTAGTTGCTTGTATTAAAGTCAAAATAAGGTCAAAGAAAAAGGGTTAGATGAGGATTGATCAGTATGTACCTACCTGCTTTGGAGACAGTAGGGTGGGGACTGTTCCCATCTTCAAGGTTTTATGTCAATATTGGCGAATACTCAGCTATGTGTACGTGTGCCCCACTGGGGAAATGATGGTTAAAAAGTAACATTTTTACTGTTCTTGTGGTTTATTATCAACAAGAGGAGAGTCTTTCCTAGGTGTTGCCAATTCACCTTTTCCACCCTGTATGTACAGACTTGTAGCAAGAAAGCAGATTCTTTACCCGTTCCAAGCTCTACAACTCAGATGGTCCCAGCATGTTGCGTTGCTATCTAGGATTTTCTTGCTGTGCGTTGAACCAACATTACAGCAGAGCAAATAATTCATAGCAGATCTGGCATTCAACTAGTCTTGCTTTGTTCCTCTTTGTTAAATAGGAACAACTGTAGACCTGGTCAGCACAGGGAAAATATTTTGGTAGAGGTGAAGATGAGAATCTCAGATGATACAGTTGTACCTGTCAAGGCAGTAGCACTTGCACAGCTACAGCTTCAAAGTTTTCTTACAGGTCCTGTTTGTTGGAAATGTTGTTCTGTGGGTTAGTTCTCATGATCACCTCTGCCTGTATACGTCATATTACTGATATGATCTTCTGAAACGTTAAGTCTGGTGATCACCATCAGGTTGTCTTAACAGCCATGGAATTGAAAGCCTATCTTTTTCTTTTCTGTTTTGCACTGAACTCTTGTTCTGACCATATTTTTTACCTTTTCTTTGTAGTTATGAGGGTTTGGAACCAATTGAAAATTAAATTTGAGCATCTCATAATTACTTGGGTCCAAGAACAGGGCCTTTAGGAAAGTCGTAAACTGTAGCAGAGTTCTCGGTAAGCAGATGGGGCAGGTTGTGGTGCACAATACTGTCTCTGTTCCCCATCTTATGCTGGTAACTCTTTGTAAAGCTTACCCAGAGCAGTTTTCCCTGGCACCCCTGTTGGTGGAAGGCTGGGACAAGTGGGTAACCCTCTCTAGAGTGAGAAACGTCTTTCTAATGCATGGGTGTAAGTGGCCTTTATGCACTGCTCATGTGCTCAGGGAGGAGAGAGGGTGGAGGCAGGTGAGTAGAGGACAGGAGTGTTTGTTCTAGCTTGGTGGTCTTAGATGAGTCATTTACCTATTTAAAGTCTCAGTGCTGCAATCTTCCACTGTTGCTATGTGTTGTTTTGGTGGCATTAGGGGGAATGTAGATGTTGCTCCAGGGGATTGTCAGGGCTGCAGGTACCATGTTGTTCTGCTCAGACCTCTCCTGGTGGAGCAGGGGCTACTCTTGAAAAAAAATTAATCCCATTCCCCCAATCCCAGGGTGCCCAGGAGGCCCTGGGAGACATGCAGAGAGCAGAGGTCTCCCAGAGATTATCTGGGCTGATAAAAAAATCTTAGGATGAGTTTTATTATTTTGATGTTTTATTTTTGGGTTCTCTCTCCCTTGTGGTATTTTGATGTTGTTCCCCATTGCCCCTTTTGGCAGTGTAAGCCATTCTTTCGCTGATGCGATGTGCTCTTCAGTGTGGCATTGAACATCTTGAGAGCAGCAGCTGGCCCCAAAGATCTGTTATCCAAAGATCTGTGACTATTAAATGTGGAACTTGGCTGTTAAACGCTTGAGCTCGTGCACTGGCCCAGCCTGACTGAGGCATAGCAGAAGGGCCTGGCAGATGATCCAGTCTGTGGTGCAGGATGTGCATCCTTCTTCCTGGGCTCCCTGTGGTCTCGAGGCACCCAAAATACAAATGGGAGTGGGTGAGTTTCGTGGCTAAGTGTGCATATGCCACATGAGACAGTACCTCACCCTTCCTGCCCAGTGTTACCGCCTGGAAGCACAGTGGGCTCACCCAGGATCCCGCTCGTTGACTGCCAGATGCTGCTGTCTTCTTATCTGCTGAGCTGCAGAGCACGTGCAGCCATCTCAGATGTGCAGAGCGGGAGCTGGCAGAGAAATGTGAGGCAACATTTCACAGCAGGAAGCTGAGAACATCCTCCACTGTAAGTGGGGCTGCAGAGCATCTGGGTGTGCAGAACAGCTGACACAGTGGGGAAAACCCTTCCTCAGTAGGGAAAAGAGGAGAAAACGCACACAGAAGGGTATTTAGTGAAGATGTGGATCCAGACATCACATGATGAGTCTCACTCCCAAACCTGATCTCTAACTCTGCAGATAGAGGAAATGACTAGAAGGACTCCCAGCTCCTTCATTTCCTACATGATCAGACTTTTCCCTACTTCCTCTGGTACTGATCCAGTCTAGCTGTGGAAGCACAAAAAGTACCAAGCCTTGGACAGTACAAAGTACAGCTTGAGCAGGAAGGGAATGTCCCTGTCTCTGGACGCGAAATGTGCTGCAAGTGAAGTGATGCCAACATGAAACCCTCCACAATGTTTTTCTGGTTGCACTTCTGTTGTGACAAGCAGAATGAGGGCTGTCTCCTCAGGCTGCGACTGGGTTGTCATCCTCACCCATAGCAGAGAGCACAGCCCAGCTGTGGAGTATGCAGCCAGGCTTTGGCAATGCAGTATGGTCATTGCTGGGGATTTGAGCTGGGCATGCAGGTCCGCTTGGTCTCCTGCTTTGTCTCTCAGTAGGTATTGCAGTAGGTATTTGGGGAAGATGTCTAAGAAAGTAGAGCCCAAATTGACTCAGTGGAAAATCCAGCACACTGGAGTTGTTTGCTCTCTGCACACACAGCCTAACTGTTGCCAGCTGCAATGACACCCCTCTTTTTGGAGAGGATCAGCTGGCTTGGGTTCCCTTCTCAGCCGCACGCTTCTCTGTGATTCATTTATGATGTTGAACAAGTTGTTTACATGCTTTTTCTTATCTTTAAAGGGAGTGGTAATGGTGATCTGATCTCACATGTTCCTCAGTGTGTTTGTTCATATGCAGTCTGAGTCCAGGACCTTGTGAAGTGCATTCCCAACAGGGGCTGCTGGCCTTATTGGGTATGTTTAGGTTAGACCTGTTACAGATATTTGCATCAGTTAATGAGGCCCAAAGCCAGTACAGTATATGAACGTTGCAGGCCTGTTGTTCTGAAGAGGAAAGTTTCAGACCTGGAGTGATCCTGGCTTCCCTGTAGGTGACTTTCCACCAGCTAGTTATTGATGTAGTGCTGAAATTATGCCTCATGTACGTGGTGATGGGGATACTGAAGGGAATGGATGATGTACCGCTGGAGTTTCTATGCTTCTTTCTGGTACTCTCATATACAGGTACACAAGCACTGGCACTCAGGTTTACAGCTCCCTGCTAATCAGCCCTTATTGTTTCCTTTTTGTTTTTCAAGACTTGCTCTGAATCAGTGAAGGCCAAAGCTGCCAAGTCTGACTGGCTACGGGATCTTTTCCTGCCCAACATCATGCTCTTCACAGACAAGAGATACTTCAATGACAGTGAGTGGGAACGCCTGGAGCATTTTGCACCTCCGTATGGCTTCATGGAGCTGAATTATTCATGTGAGTGCCTCAGGGCATGTCAGGATGGGACCATCAAACTCCCAACAGGAGCCTTATGTCAAGTAGCTGGAGGTTCGCAGCATCTCCATGTCAAAGGCATCAGGCTAGGTGGATCTCGTGGTGAAAAATGTGGTGGTTTCACTGTGTCCATCCCGAAGGCTCTTGTTGCTAACCCTCCACCATGTTTGCTTCACAGTAGTGGAGGAGGTCATGTCCCTGCTGCCCCCAAACGCCCATCAGCAGCTGCTCCTGGCCAACAGCAACAGCAGCATGCCGACATGCATCAGCTGTGCCGTCGTGGGGAATGGAGGAATATTGAATAACTCTGGGATGGGCCAGGAGATCGACTCCCATGACTACGTCTTCCGGTAAGGCAGGCTTCCTTCTTAGAAGATACACAGCTAGCTTATTCTGGCTAGCAGATAATTCAGACTGGCTAACTTCACAGCTTTTAGTGTTGCACTGACTCTGAAGTGCCAAAATAACTGATGGCAGGAGGAGATGAAAAACCAAAAAGGAGTTGGAAAGTTCCTAAACACCCAGGAAGAGCCTGGTTTCACAGATGAGCCATAAAGAGCCACCTCCAAAGCAGGGGGAAGTGGCTCTCCTGCAGATCAAGAAGTGTAGCTCAAATGGGCCTAATCTCTTCCTCCAGACTAACACTGCTTTTTCCTGTTACAAACATGGATGCGAGGGTTTTCAATGGTCACCTGCTAACTCTGCTCCTCTGTTTGATTTTGATGGCCAGGGTGAGCGGGGCTGTAATCAAAGGTTATGAAAAAGATGTGGGAACAAAAACCTCCTTTTATGGATTCACAGCCTTCTCCCTGGTGTCCTCTCTCCAGATCCTGGGACACAGAGGCTTCAGCAGCATCCCACGGGGAAAAGTAAGTCGGGTCCATGCTGTACGCATGCATAGCTTTGATGGGATGCTGTTAGTCTGTGGCCTTCAGTTCTGATCTTGCCATGCAGGATGAGCAAAGGGGCTGAGCTAACACTTTAGCATTACCCTTGGTGAGGGAACCTGCATTGGCTTGGCTCAGAGTGAGTATCTGCAGTGGCAAGCTGCGTCAGTCCTACCCCAGCCCTTTGACATGTAGAAGTAGCTGCACATGAGGTGTTATCTCCATGCTGCTTCTGTGGGATAGTTAAAAGCTGCAAACTGAAGATGTGTGTCTGAGAAACTCGGTGAGCCTAGATGTCTGCTTGCTTTTTGTTTTTAAAGGATGTGTCTCTCTTGTGCTGTTCATTAATGCTCACTTGTTTCCTTAGCATGTCAGATACATTCACTTCCTGGAGGGAGCTAGAGACTATGAGTGGCTGAAGGCTCTTCTGCTGAACAAGAACATCAGGAAAGGATTCTTGAACGACTACGGGTAAAACAACCTGGGTTCACCTCTACATTCTTTGGTTCGGAGCTTTCTGCTGTGCTCTCTTCCTCTTCGTGGTGCTCAGCCCTGCTGAAGTGCAGGCCAGGGTAAAGCCAGGTTAAAGCCTCCCTCCCCTTGCAGATTTATCTGGAGAATTATCTTATTTTCCTCCTCAGCTCTGCACACTGCTGTAACAAATACACCTCCTTCCCAGAAGTAGCTGATTTCACTGATGTGTGGCCAGAGCTTGGAGAAAGCTTTGTGGTCCTCTGGGATGAGCACATGCTGTTGTCTGGTCTGGTGTCTGTATGTGGTGTCCTACTTATGGATGAAGGCCTGGTTTTACCAGTTCTTGTCTATGCACACTCACTTATGATATTCCTGTCTCCTGTTGTTGCCTGTCCTTCCTGATCTCTTCCTCTGCAATGCACGCAGGTTATGGATGCCTTGTCATAATCTGGGAAGTGTTGCAGAATAACTTAACAGTGTTTGTGGTTCTCTTATCACCAAGTGCATCAGGGCTGATGCTTTGCAGCTGTGATGAAATACAGGTGCTTGTCCTGAGTCTCCCCATTCCTGTCCTTAGGCAGAGGCCCCGGGAGAGATTCGATGAAGATTTCACGATGGACAAATACCTGGTGGTTCACCCTGATTTCCTCAGATACATGAAAAACAGGTGAGCTGGGAGTTATGTGCTCTAACGGGCTTATTTTTTCTGGCCGGCACCATCTCTGTCTGTCTCTGAGCTCTCTCCTCCCGCCTCACACCCTTTGTAACTGCAGTTTAGCCACACCAGCAGATTGGGGATAAGCTTCGTCAGTGTGCAGTCAGTTAAAATTCTCTGTGGTGGGATGTTATCCAGCGTCTGTGAGCTGGGGAAGCACCATCCATCGGACAGTTTGGTTTTCTGCACCCAAAAGAGGTCCTTGGCAAATGGCAACTTGAGATGTGGGAAGAGTGTTGCCACAGTGCCAGAATAGTTGATCTAGTTCAGGACCAACCTTTCATGTTCCCTATTGCTTAGCACCTTGGAGGAACGCTCTGTAACAGCTCTTTTCTCTCAAGATCCCTTCTTGGCTCAGGAGGTTGTTTGTGCCCTCAAACACGGTAACAGTGTTCAGTATCCCATTTGCCTGGCCTGGCTGCTCTTCTTTGCCTCGCTAATAATTTTCACAAGCCTGCCGGACACTGTCATTGTAAGATGTGCCAATCGTGGGCCACACGTGACCAGGAAATGTAGGAAGAAGAGCTCCTGTTGTGCCTGGTTTGGCTGTGTTTACCCTTCGGTCTCCTTGAGAGCTGAGTTACGCCTTCTCTGAGAGAAGGCAAATGCAGTGCCAGATGGCTTGTACCTCCCTGCTTGTTCTGCGGTCTCCCCTCTGACTTGGCTCCTTTCCAAGGCCAAGAGGGCTCGAATGCTATTTTTTCCTGGTGTGGGCTCCTACCTTCCTAACAACTGCTGGCATGAAACACTGCAACTCCTAGTGAGTTTTGTGACCTTCCTCTGCGCCGTGGTTTTTTTTTTGTGACCCTCCTCTGCACCAAAGACACTGTTCTGTCTTGTTTCACTCCTAAATGTGGATGGAGAGCAGGATATACCAGGGAGCTTCAAAGCCATTTCTGTGCTGTGAGGCAAAGGACAGATTTAAGAGTGGGCTTTAATGTACTAGATCCTTTAATCCAACCCCTCTTTATCCCCACGTCTTCAAGACCTACCACTTCCATAAAGCTGAGGCAGAGCTGGGCTTAGGTTGCAGTGCAGGTGATGGAGCATTCTGGGCTGGCCTTGTGCTTTACTGAGCACGCAGCAGTACCCACATGCGTGGGCATAGTCATGGCTTGTCTGAAATGCCTCATATGGCCACAAACTGCTGCAAGGAGGAAAGATGCTACACAGGCCAAAGGGGGACAAGGTGTGCCCAGCTTGGGCCACTACCCCAGCAACTGCTCTGTGCTTTCTTCTCTTCTGCTGCAGGTTTTTAAAATCTAAAACTCTGGAAAAGCCCTACTGGAGGATGTACAGGCCCACAACAGGGGCCTTCCTGCTGCTGACTGCCCTCCATCTCTGTGACCAGGTAAGGGCATGATAATTCTTGCACACAGCACTGTCTGGAAGGCATATAGGATGACAGGGCAGAGCAGGGGTGGCTCCAACTCTGCCTAACATCTGCCTTGAGGGTATATGCGTTCTTGTCAGCCATGAGGGAGCAGATTGAGACAAGAGAAACAGCCCCAAAATAGTTTACGCAGAGGTTGTGAAGCCTGCTGTGGCCTGAGAACCATCCTGTCTCCCAAGGAGGCAGTGGGAGGAGAGCAGGCTCTCTGGAGCCAGTGTTCAGTCTGGTCCTTCTGGACCCCTGTGCAGGGTCACTCGGAGGAGCCCTGACTGTCATTCCTGTTCTGTGCTCCCTCCCTGTTTGGGAACTGCGTCTTGTATTTCACTTAGCTCCCTCCATCCTTGGTACCTCTCCCCAGTGAGCCCTCTGTCTTTCCCAGGTGAGTGCCTATGGCTACATCACAGAGGGTCATGAGAAGTACTCAGATCACTACTATGACCAGCACTGGAAACGTCTGATTTTCTACATTAACCACGACTTCGACCTGGAGAAGCAGGTGTGGAAAAAGCTTCACAATGAGAATATCATGAAGCTTTACCAGAGATCCTGATTGCGTGGCAAGGGCCTGGGAAATCTCAACACCGCCTCACTGGGAACAGAAGAGGACCACCAGAGCCAAGGTTAGCTCTGGACTTCCAGGCACATTTCATCCCCACAAAGATGTTTCCCTCTTCTAGCCCCTCTATTCTCTCACAACGTTTCTACAAATGTGCAAATGCTACAGACTGGGACAAGAACAGCAGGAAAAAAAAAACAGGAATACACAGCACGGCAGCAAAGGTGTCCCATCTGGTTATGCTGTAAGACTGTTGCTGATGGTTGTGGGCACCAGTATTGGGAGAGAAGAATCCGGGATGGATCTGGGTAGCCTATGGTCCAGTGTCCTTGCATCTTCATCCAGTCTTTCTCTCTTTGCAAGGAGATGCTCCTCAGGCTGGGGCTACTTCTGCTCTGGATGGATTCTCTCCGTTAGTGGTACCCATCTTGGGCTTTGGGTGTATTGTCTAAGGGAAGCTCCCTCTGCACCAGTGGATGGATGCGGACACACAGATCATGTCTCAGGTTGACTTAATTCCTGGAGGTCCTGCTCCACTCTGCTGCCTGCAGATAAGAAGGATGGACTGGACATTTCCAGCTGACTAATTTGAGAGAGGATGAGTCTCACTTCTGCTTCCCAGTGTGGCCTCATCGTGACATCTCCGAAGGAGCACCACCATCAGCTCAAGGGCAGATAAAAGCTCTCCATGGTGCAGCAGGCATGCCGGATGTGGTACCTCTTGCTCTGGGGCTCCCCTGGCTGCAGGACGTGTGAATAAATAGATAAAATAAATGGCACTGCTTTGGCCAAGTTGATTTTTCATTGCAGCCCTGTGGAATGTGGTTATTTAGTGTGCACGCAAAGCAGTTGCTTAAAGGCTGAGATAGTGGATGATGAAGCCAGGAAAGGGCAGGACTGAGTGTTAATGAGAATATCTCCATCTGCAGGTGCTCTGCAGCTTGTGTGGACACACCTGAGCATCCCCTGCTTGTTCACCTTGCTGTCACTGGATGGGGATCAGAGCTGGCCAAATGCTTCCCTGAGGAAGTGGGTAAACCCCTGGGGAGTCTGTCCTTGTCCCAGCAACTGCTCTCTGGGCATATCAGATGCTGGAGACAAAAGCATGGAGGGCTGGATGTTTTCCCTGAGACACTACACAGGCGAAAAGCCATTTCTAGTGTCCAGGCACGTCCAGCCAATCTGCAAGAGCTCATCAGGCTCTGGACTGAGCTCCAGCTTCACACTGACTGGTCCCAGTGGACCTACTCTGGCTGTGAGCAGTTTTCCTTTTGTGCAGCATTTCTGTTGGGCGCAGCAGCGTCTCCAGGGACCCCCCCAGGCTCCAAGGGAGGCATTTCAGCATGGATTGTCAGCAGGATTTGCCGGGTCCGATTTCCTTTGTCCCTTTTTTCCCTGTGCTGTGGAGAGGCCAAGCAGTTTCTCATGTCTCGCTAAGCTTGTTTGCAAAGAACAACCCCCCACATTGATAAACTACATGAAGAATTCAGCTTATCTGGGAGAGGGTGTACCCTGCGCTTGGCTGCTCTGCCCGTACAATCCCCGCAGTGTCCATGGGAGCAGGGAGTTATCTGAAATGCACTGTGCCTCTGTTGGGAATGATGTATGTAGCCCCATGTGAACACCAGACCCATGGGGAGCCACAGGCTTTGGAACAGAGCAGAAGTCCTTCCGGAGCAGCAGATGGCCTCCCAGTGAACGGAGAGCCTGATAGAGGCTAGTCACCCTCCAGAGCCGACCAAAGGCAAACTCCTGCACCCAGGAGCTCTTGACCCCTCTGGGTGTCTCAGTCCCTCACAGTGGCTGTGCACAGCTGGTGTCCCCTGTCCCCAGGCCCTGCAGGCTCTCCCTACCCGGCACTCGCCTGGCTGGGCTCTCGGTGGGCAGCGAGGCAGCTTTATTCCTTGCCTGTGCGTCAGGCTGTACCAAATTGCTGTGGGTTGCTTAGTGACCAGCTCCGCACGGGTATTCTTCCTGCCTGAATAGGGCTTTTCTCTTCCCGAGAAGTTGGAAGAAGTTTTTCTTAGACCCTTTCCTTCCCCCTCCTCCTCTTTTGTTTTCCTCTCCTCTGGGAAGCGGGATGGGCCTGAGTCCTGCTGAGCAAGAGGACCGGGGTGGATGAGGAAGAAGCTTTAGAGATGGGCTGGCAGCCCCCAGCCCACGCTTTCCCCTGGTGCCCAGATCCTTTTTGTGGCTGAGGCTTCCCAGAGTCAAGGGAAGGAAACTTCCCAGGGGGCTTTCTCCACCAGCAGAGTCTATTCCCTCCAGGCTCTCCTCTCATCACAGCTGACATAGTTTGGTGTTATCAGGGATAATCTTGGCTGGAGAAAGCCCTTTGCTGGGGTCTGGAGTTTGCCAGTAGGCTCTAAACCGTGTCCTCTCTGGCCCCAGAAAAGTGGTTCTGACCTAACGGTCCCCTTCGTCTCCTCACTTTGTTCCTGTCCTCCCTGCACCAAGGCATCCCGTCCCACCATGGGCTGGCTGAGGTGCGGTGCACAGGGGGACACATCCGCTGGAGCAGAATTCCAGCGGCGTCTCAACAGAGCCACCTGACCTTGCAGCATCAGGTCCGGAGCAGCCACAGGAAGTCGCGGGAGTTTGGAGGTGGCATTTCCCAGCTACATTCTAGCCTGACACGAACTAGTGTAGCAAAACCTGTGGAGGACAGCTACAACTGGAGCGCCCATGGTGAGAGCCGGGATCTGGGGCTTGGGTGAGTCCCCCTCTGGGTGTGTGTCCCAGGGCAAAGGCAGCAATGCCGGGCTGTGCCGGAGTAGCCTCAGCCTCCCCAACACGGCTGAATGGTTGGTGCCACTGTGCAGAGCCACCCAAAATGTCCCCATCCAGGTCCTCATGGCTGGCAGGCCAGCAGCATTGTCCCAGTGCCACCAGGTGGCAGCTCCTGTTCAGGGACCTGTCAGCATCGCATCCGGCACATCGAGCTTTGGCACAGGCGGTGTCCGAGTGCCATGCACAGCCCCGCAGCTGCCCACCTTGCACCAGACTGTTGTCCCCCAGTGTCCCTCACTTTGTAACGCCCACCTGCCCGTGGGGTTTGTGGCCCAGGAGCTCCTTGGGGTATATAGGGACGTGCATGGAAGAGGTTTGCAAGTGCCACCCTCACAGCTGCAAAGTGTGTGCAGAGGTGCAGCCTTGGCTTGTGCAAGGTGGCGCAGCACAAGTAGAGGGACCGATGGTGGGATCGGGTCTGTCATCCTGAGAGATGTCTCGGATGCAGTGACAACTCCTCAAGTGCAGACATGATACCCAGTGCCAGTGGCCATCAGCATCTTTCCCCACTGCCAGCCAGGAGTTCCGGGGTCTGCGGGATTTAAACAGAGACATCTGATTTGGGGAAGAAATACACGACTGTGCTTCAGCGTGCCTGGAAGCTGCTGTAGAGTCAGCCCTGCTTTTTTGCGAAGGTGTCGGTGAGTACCATAAGCCATGCCCGACTCCTCCCTGAATTCCCCAGGAGTTAACAGCTTCTAAATATTCCTGGCCAGGTTGCGGGAAACAAATTCACTTGTTACCCAGGAGCTCTTGCGGTGTCACTTTCCTGGCAGGGCTTCGAATCGTTTGTTTGGTTTCCACCTTTTCCCCTTTTGCGGTGTGACTGCTCACCTGTCTAGCAGAACGAAGCAGGGACCATGTCCTGCTGCATGTTCGCAGGCACGTAGCTCCTCAACTGGGGCTGACGCCAAAGCAGGAGAGAGCAGATGGATGGAACTTGCTGGGCTGAGGGACGGAGATGCACTTTGGGGATGAACGGGCAGTGCAGAGCCTATCTCGTCCCCACTCCTGGTCAGCCCAACCCCATGCTTCGGAGCCTGAAAGGTTGGGCTGACCAGGAGCGGGGAGGAGATGGGCTCTGCACCGTGTTGGGCTTGGGGTGCCTGCTAGCTCTGGCAGCCAAGACCAAACCCAACCAGGTGCCGGAGGGAGCCACTGCATGTGCCACACATGGCTCCAATGCAGCCTTGTGCCATGGTGGCACATCCAGACTGTCACTTCTGTCTCTCTTGTTCCTAGGCAAGAAACTGAGGCACAGAGCAGGCAGAGCTGGGCACCAGTGCCTGGACTTCCCAGCACGGAGCAGGTGGTTCCTCCAGATGCGTTGCTCTCAAGTAGCCATGGTTGACTGGGTGCCCTGGGAGTGTAGCAGAGGTGTGTGCTGGCTCCAGCTCAGCACAAAAACCTCTATGCTGGTGACTAACCAGATGCTATTTACGTTCCCCAAGTGCAGGTTTGGGGCAGGCGCTCAGTGCGCAGGGGTGGGGAGGTTCACCCTCCTCACCTCCACTATGCTGTGCAGACCTTCTTCCTCTGTTGGGGATGTGGCAGCAGGGAAATCCAGTTGGACCAGAAAAACTATTGATAATAGGGGAGGGAGAATAAGATAAAGGAGCAGCCCTTGGCTTTGTTGGGCAAAAACCACCAGATGACCTCTGAGGGCCTCCCCTGCAGCGAGCCCTAATCTCCAGGTGTGGGGCAGAGCCCTGCAGACAAACAGCTCCTGGGGCTGCAGCAGCCCCTGGTTCCCACGCCAAGGAGCTGTGAGAGTCTGGGCTTCTCTGCCAGGCTGGGCAGCAGGACCCTGGCTGCTGCAGGGCTTTCCAGCTTGGCTTGACCCAGCCTTTGGCTTGGTAAAATCTGGAAAGACACTTGCTGAGTCCTGGGAACAGCCCAAGGTTCCCTCCATCCCTCCCACAGCAGCCATGCCACATCAGGTGGGGACTGCACAGGCAGACAAGGGGCTGGCACCAGCCCGCGGCCAGAGGATGTGTCCCCTCTCCCCAGCTTTGTGCTCTGGGGACAGCCTGGCCCCATGGCTTTGATACTTCTCTGTTTCAGCAGACCTCAGGGATGTCTGTCCTGATGAGAACACGGCAGGATCAGTCCATGTCTGCCCTGCCCAGTCCAGAGCAGCCAAGAAAGAGGAAGGTAGTTGTTTGCGTTATGTCACCCCAATTTCTCAAAGATGTTTCCCAGCT